TGATGCAGCCACTTGTGCCAAATAGCAAAATGCCTGATTAGGCAAGCTTTCCAGGGAGCTGGCTGTCCTCAGCTGCACCCTGGCACTGCTGATGCCTGGAGCAGGGAGCACAGGTGCCCTGCCTGTGAGGAGAGGCAGGGCTCCAGCAGCCCTCTGAGGCAGGGGAACAGGGCAGGGAGTGTGCTGTAAATGTGCACCCTGGCCTACAACACTGTAGCCCTCTGAGTTCAGGCAGGTCCCTTTTCAATGCCTGCTCCTTGGTGCATTTCAACATCTTCCATGTAATATCACAAAAAAAAAAAAAAAAAAAAAGGAAAACACAGCCCAGCCTGAACTACCAGGTACTGAATACCAGAAGTGTCTACCTGATCTCTCACCTGGTTTAGCAGCCAGTGCTGCTGCATGTGTTGCTGTCTTGTCCCTACTCTCTGTCCTGGGGCCACAGTGAGGGGAGTCAGGATGAGGCCATCTCAGCCACAGAGCTTCAATTCCCTGCCAGCCTAAGCTGCTTGTGAAAACAGGACCAGTGCTGCCAGCCCTACGTACCAGCAGAAGCTTACAACATACCAGCACAAATACTAACTTACAGCACAGCCAGACACAAAGTTTGAGCCACCTGTGTGCTGATATAGCCTGGTACTGCCAAGGACTGTGACTCCCTGGCAGTGAGGTCTGGCACAACCATTGCAGGCAGTGCATCCATCCTGCTTTATTGAGGGGAACCAGCATATATTTGCTGCTCTTTCTTCACTCACTGGGGCGGAAAACATGGGAGACTGGGTTCTCCTTTTGTGAGCACCCTTGCTGCAAAAGAAGAGCTTGCAGGAGCCAGCCTGGAGGGAAGGTGTGGATGAGGGCCAGCACAGGGACACTGCCTGAGATCTCCTCCTTTGGTGGTACCCTGAGCACCAGTGCACATGGAATGCCAAATCTATTGGAGTGGGGGCATCACCCAGCAGCATCTCTGGGTGAAATTAGTTTTGAGACCTCTCAGTGAATGGTCTGGAATATGAGCTCCATTCCGAGCTCTGAGGGGTTGATGCTGTCTGTTCTGCCATACTGAAAGTAGGTTGCACAAGTGAAATCTGTAGTTTCTAAAGTCCTCTCTTTTTTTTTTTTATTTTTTTTTCTGTAAACAACATTATACTTGGGCTCCAGTCTGTGCCAAGATGAAGCATTTAACTTCTTCAAATCTTGAAAGTTTTAGAGTCTGAAGGTGGGTGATGGCTAGGGGAAAAGCAAGAACAAGAAATCTCTTGAGCTGTGGGGGGTTTGTTATTCTTATTTTCCATTGTAAAGTGAAAGGGATTTTCTGTAATGTGAAACTATTGGATTTTCATCTTATTTCACAAAGTACTTTTATTTTGCTACTGATATTGTGTTGAGACAATCTCTCTTAAGTCTGCCTTCTGCCCTTCTCTTACAGGAAAAGAAAAACTGGTGTCATTTAACTCCACTGATAAACAGATGAGTATTACCAACTGAATTCAGTTCATTACTCCACATACCTTGTATTCCATATGCTGATATTGGAACCATAAAATGCTGACAGGACAAGAGGAAATAGACTCAAGTTGTGCTAAAGGAGGTTTAGTTTGAATATCAGAAAAAATTTCTTCACCAAAAGGGTTACTGAGCCCTGGAACAGGCTACCCAGGGAAGCAATTGAGTCTCCATCCCTGGAGGTATTTAAAAGATGTGTAGGCATGGTGTTTAGGAATATGGTTTAGTGGTGGAATTGGAAGTACTGAGTTAGTGGTTGGACTCAATGATCTTAAAGGAATCTTCCAACATAAATCTGTGATTCTAAAAAAAAAAAAAAAAAATCTCTAAAAATATTATTATTTCCCATTCAAAGTGGACATTCTTGTATTAAAAGCATGCAGATGTGCTTTTAGTTCAGATTAACACAGATTGGAACATCTGTCCACCTTGAAAACAGTAAAAGGTATCCTAGTTCTGTAGGAAGGTATATGGTCATGAATCCTCAAGGCAGAGTAGGTGCTGTGTTTTGGTTTTCAGTATTTACCCAGTTCTGACCTTTCTGATATTTTTCTGAGGTGTCAATTGAGAAAGAGGGGGAGGTTGGGTTTTTTGTATGCTCCTACCTGTGAAAAATTGAGGAACTGATTTTATTCCAAGCAAATTAAAATGAACAGGGGGTACTAACAAAAGAACTATTTCTGTATATTTACTAACTTATAGGCGTACCGTGGAGACTGTAAGGTGAAGGGTCCTATCTGGACCTCTCACTAGGGATCTTTCGCGGCCGGGAACAGGGAACAAATTATGAATAAAAATGTATTCCTCTGTGCCATGTGGATACACAGAGAGACCCTCCATGCCTTGGAATGTGAGGATGATGCAAGACCCCCCTGTACGAGCCCAGGGGAAGTATGTTGCAACCAGCCAAAAGATAACACCCACTTCCAAGGCAGAGAAATTACCTTTTAAGGCAACAAGCGGACAGTAAAATGAATATTCAACAACTGATTTCAAAGGGTACAAAAAGCGCGGTTTTCAAACAGCGGTGTGCTCTTTGCATGATTCAAAGGTGCACCCAGTGCTGGAAATGGGTACCCAGCACTGCAATAAAAATCTCTTGCTATATTTCTTTGTCCTGCAGGTATTTTTGCCGTCTTCAAAATTCCAGAGAAAAAGTAACTTATAACACTACCCAACAATAAATGTTCAAAATAATGATGTCTGGCTTCACTGAAAGTACATTTCTGCAGTGGTGGCTTTGCCACAGAAAAAGATGGTGATGTCAGTGGGTCTACAGGAGAAATGTAGCAGCAATGTATTTGAACAGATTTCCCTTTGAGTGCAAAGGATTTCTACCACAAGTGCTGATTAGTGAAATTAATTTTCCCTACACAGCACATATGCTGCAAGATTTCACTTGTCTTTTCTGCTTTTTCCCTAATGGTTTCTGTGAAAGCAAAGGAAAAATGTAGTGTGTGTGATGCCCTCGCATCTTCCTCTTTTCCACAGGAAACGTTTTTAGCAGAATTTAAAGGCCCTTTCTTATTACATCCAAGCTTCCCTTTTCAAGCTGCAATACTTCTTCTACCTGTTTAAACCTGTTTCTGGAGCACACAGAGATGAAATGCTGAAGGCTTATTCAAGGGCATGAGAAAGTTTATTTCTATGGGGATTTTGCTTTAAAATGGAGGGCTTATATTACCTGCTGCAGTGCTCACAGAAAGCAGTGTCTTTTGAACTGTGAGTTCAATATATACGAGTCCTGCAACTTTGTTAGCGTCCTAAAGATGCGTAATACCTCTTCCGTTGAACTCAGAGATTCCAAGAATCAAGGATATGTGCTTAGGGAAACTTTAAGTGATAGAAAAATTATGACTTCTGCCTCTGATCAAAGCAGAACAAAGCATTTGATTGCTGCCCTCTCTCTGTTATTGCAGTCTCCTTGCAATCAGGGAGCTCTCCAAAGGAGAACACACCAAGAATGGCAATACCTAGAAAAAGAGAAGGAGCTTTAACTGAGAATAGCATCCATGAGTTCAGCTGCCTATCTAAAATTTAGTCAGCCTTAATGAAGTGACTAGCTGGTCCAGGTTCCTCTGTGTGTAAGAAGGGGTTGTGATGCCTCCTTACTACAGACTGGCAGCTGATGAGCTCAATTACTTTCCCTGGGACTGCTCGTCTAAAAGCAGGGTTGAGTCCTGAGGAAGAAATGCAGGTACAGATATAACAGGCTGGAATTTCCTTCTAGGTGTAATATGCTAATGTCAGAAATACATATTTCAAGAAAATCCTGAATTTAAAATGAAGGTGAGGTGATAAACCATAATGCTGTAACAGGGCTGCCAGTAACTCTGTAATGATAAGGATACATGATTAGAGTGGCAGTAGAAAGTTCATGGGCCCATCTGACTTGGGAAGAGGCAGTCCATGCCTGAGAGCACGGGCTGTGACTTTGGAAAACAATGTATGAATGCCTATATTAATGATGCTTTTTTCTTCTCTGAGTACCATGAAAATGCTTGTATGTAAACACATGGTGCCACTGTCATCTGCATTTGCAAGCCATGATGATGGTGCTGTTAGAAAATGCATGGATAGAGTACAAATATACAGGATGTAAATCAGAGCCCGAATCACAAAACACATGTACTTGAAACTGTGGAGAGACAATAGAGAGACACAGAGTCCCACTCTGACTCAACAGCAAGCTCTTCTCTGCCGTTTCATACTGAATGACTTTTTTCTCTACAGAAATTTTATAACCTGTTTTTATGCTGGTATTTGATTTCTCTGTGGAACACCATTCTTTTAATTATGTCCAAATAAAATTCTGATTTGTATTACAACCCAATCCATCTGTTTCAAGGAATCTATACTGAAGAAAAACAGGAGCAACGTAGTGGCAAATCTGATAAAAAGGATGCATTTAATTTAAAGTAATTTAAACCAGCAAACCAGAAATCTGCATTTAAATAAATTATTTTAATCTTGATCTGTATTTGCACTTTATTTTTTTTTTTTCCTTGAAGATACCAGGTTTTCATTGGTGTGCAACATTCTTACTGTGATTATTATGGCTAAATATAACCTCTTGCACTATATGGGGGTTTGGTTTGTTTTGCAGGAAGGTGTGCAGTATCTGTACAGATCTACATCACTTAGCATGCATTCACTCCCTCGGGCTCTTATTTACTCTTAATCAGTTTGTTTTTCTGCTCAGGATTTGCTTCAGAGTGGCTTTGTTTGGCCACTTGGGTTCGTCAGATCTGTCCTTCCAGGCTTTAAAGCAGAGAGGGTCCGTGCCTTTCCCCTTCCCCATCCAGAGCTAGGGCCTTGGGTGAGCAGTGAGTGCCTTCTGGAGGAGCTGAGGGCAGCGCCCACGCCCGTGCCGGGGCAGCGGGGGCGGCAGGCACTGCAGCCTTACGCATGCCCTGCGAGGAAGCCGTGGGCGGACGAGGTGACTTAGGAGGATGAGCACCCCGCCTGTCGCCCAGACTTCCCCCTGCGCCCCGGCTGGGAGCCAGCCTTTCGGCATCCCGTGGCAGCGGCCAGGCACCCATGGCCCGGCACTGATCCCCCTCGCTGCCCCAGGCGGTGGCCGCTCACCCAAGGAACTCACAGGTACCCTGGGGCACCGGGGAGGGAAGCGGGGCAGGCTGGGCTTGCCCTCGTGGTTTTTCGGGGTGGCAGCAGGCAGGAAAGGAGAGGGATGCAGTGGTGGGTGCTGTGGTTCCTCAGGCGCCGTTCCGCTAACCGTGTCCCCCTCTCCTCCCATCCCAGGAGCTCCGGGAAGATGGGGTGCCTGCCCGCTGCCCCGCTCAGGACGTGGCTGGGGCTCGGGCTCTTCGCGCTGCTCTGCCTTGGTTTGGGTAAGCATGAGCGGCCGGTGCGGGAGCACGGGAGGGGACTGGGTCCCAGCAGGCAGCAGCACCTGCTTGCCAGTCAGCAGGGCACGGCAGCCCCCAGGACATCTGGTGTCTTCTGCCAGGCTGAGCCTGGGCCAGGGTTTGGGTGACTGACACTACTCACCATGGCAGTGAGTGCTGAGTATCCCTGAGCTCTCAGCTCTCCAGGCCAACTGCACCAGCCTGACAGCTCCCAGAGGAGCAAGTTGGTCTGCAATCCCAGCCAGCGTGAGAGAAACAAAGGTATTTTTGGGGCAGCTGATGTTTGCGGGGCGCACACGGCGTGGCCCCTTGGGCTTTGGTTTCAGTGGTGGGGTGGTTTCTGCAGTTTTTTGGATGGTTAACAGTTGGGTGTGTGGTGGGAAAGATAAGGAAAAGCAGCAGGTCAGAGCTCTCTGCACCTACCAGGCAGCTCAGCACAGTGCAGAGCGAGTTCTTTCTCCAACAACACAAATTCCCGTAGAAGTCCTGCCTGGGCTGTCCCCTGTCCTTTCTCGAGGACCTGCCGCAAAGCTCACTGCAGCCCACAGATCCCTCCTGACCTCAAGAGGCTTGGGATGAGTCTTCTCAGCTGTGTGAAATGTTAACCTTGAAACCACACAAAAACTCAGTTCTGAGCTGGGCTTCATTGTGGATGCAAAATAGATTGTGCTTATTGGCAATTTTAGTGTTTCACTGCAGCTAACGATACTCTAGAACAAACCTGGGCAGAACTGAGGCTTTGATTAAAAATCAAGTGATGCAAAATTAGGAGTTTTTCATGCTGATATTGTGTAACGGGGAGATACTTGATGCCCAGTTTCATTTTGAGTTTCAGTCTCTCTTAAAACAAAACTCAGAGAATTTAACAGGGAATGAATCTCAGAGTTCACTTGAAAAGAAAGCAACTACCTCAAATGCCACTCTAAGATCTCTGCTCTCCTGTCTTCCCCTCACTCATTCCCTACCTCTGTTCTTGCAACGCATGTGTCAAGCACAGATTATTCTGCCCATGTTGCAATGGGCAATCTATCATGAGCAGAACTGCTTCTCTCCCTGTATTTTACAAGTTTGTAGTAAGTTATTAATGTAATTATGAGCATGTGGTAATTCACCAGTCATGTATCTTCTCTAAAAAGGATGCTTGTTCCTTGGCCGAAGATGGGCAATGCTTGAATATACAGTCTGATGCCTGCAGATATCCACTACTAGAAAACAGGAGTTTGATAATAGAATAATAGATAATAGATATTTCTCAAGTTGTACTTTTTTTTTTTATTGTGGTTACTAAGTGTTTTTTTTTAATATGGTTTACTAAGTGAATGATATTTTATCCTGCTTTCCATCTCTCCCTGTTTGTCTTCATCCTCTGCTTGTAACTTTCAAATCCCCTGACCAATTTCATCCGAATTTGACAGGAAGGCAGAGCTGGTACAAATGCAGAGGTCTTTGCTACTTGGAAGCCACTGGTTTCCCAGCAGCCATGAGCAGCACCCAAATAACCAAAGCCTGGACTAATGCTCCCCATGCCCAGATGACGGAAAGTGCAGGAGGCAGCTGCAAGGGAGCTGTAAGGAGCATCATGGCACAAAGAGCTTGGGAATGGGCTGGGAGGCATGGGGAGATGGGCTGGGGCTGGGAAACACAAGGCACAAACCCATAGGCCAGCAGGATTCGGTCATCCTGTTGATGAGAAAACTGACTTCTCCAAATCTGATTGATTACAAAATTCTGGGATTAAGTTCTGCAGGAGGTGGAGAGGGAAACCAAGCTATTCTAAAAACATTATCTTGGTTTTTGGAGCATAATCATTACATGTGTCTCATGTAAGGAGGTTGTGGACGTCCTGGTGCCTCAGGAGCAGGTGCTTGGCAGACTGATAAGAACAGGACAGCTGATACACCTCCTTTCTCTCTCTGTATGCACACATACACACCCTGAAACTTTTCTCTCTGAAAATCAGTATTCCTACATTAGAGACACTTGAAAATACTTGGTGTGATACCCACAAATGAATGGGTTTTAAAAGTTTTACTGGTGCTTGCAGATGATGCCTTCTCTAGGTCACCCACAGGGACTGAGTTCTGACTTGGTTGTGGCAAAATAGTGAAGCCCTGGGCACCTGCCATTGCCCTGCCGGTGACTTCCCACAAAACGTTAAGCGAGTCGGCAAGGCCAGCATTGACAGAACTGACACCATGTGGGACTGCTCGTGACGACATCAAGGCACAGGCGGGGCTGATTCCCAAAGCCTGTGTCCTCGGTTTAGCCCAGCTGCCCTGGTGCTGGCACAGCTCCATGATGTAACACTCCAAAAGGTCAGGGAGCACACTAGGATGAAAACAACTGCTCTCTGTAAACCCTGTGTGAGCGAAATAGTAATATAAGGAATGCCAGGCTGAATTTTCTCACCATAGGAGTAGAAGGCATTAATGGTGGGCTTAATTAAAAAGGAGGAGTTGAAGTTTGTATTTCATAGGAATTTCATGTGTGTCTAAGCTGGTTTTTCTCCTTGAATTTTGCTACTCTGGCATTCACCTGAGGTGCCCCACTGAAATGCCAGTGTAATTTAAAGCTGCTTCTGAGATGCCATCTGCTGCTGGAGACACAGATGTCCATGAACACCCTGCTGTCTCAGCACAGTGGAAAAGTGGCAGAACAGCCTTGATTGCAGCACAGACTTTTTGATTTATGATCTGAATGAACTGCTGGTATCCCCATGGGCTTGTTTTTCTCCTGCCACTGCACCTTCACACCTACCTACAAATTGTAGGATGTTCTCAGTCACAGTTGTTAGACTAGGAAAATGTAGCTGGAAGTCACTCAGTATGACCTTTCCCTGCCCTGTGTGCAAACATAGTGTAGGCACTGATTGCAGGGACCCAGCGAGCCTGGCTTTGTGTCCATGGAGTATTTTTAAGCTTCCCTGGAGTTTTTTCCTCCAGCTGGGGACCACTTAGCTCTTGGTTTCTTTCCAGTGGTAAAATTTTTGAGAAGTTTTGAGGAAAATTCCCTGCAGCTTTTCAAAGTTTTTGGAGAGTTGGGAAGTGGGGGGGAATATCCACTTCCCTCTGCATTGCGAGCGAGCTCTGGTTCACAAGTAACGCACTCTGGGAATCCCCTCCCACATGTTACTTGCCAATGAAGAGCTTGGAGTGGAGCTGGGTTTCAGAAAGGGACAAATAGGGAAGATTCCCAAAAAGGGACAAATAGGAAAGATTCCCTGTTTCGTGGCCACTCCCAAATATTGAAGTGTCTAGCAGTGAGCTTTAGGTGCTTGGTGTCTAATTTCCATTCCAGCTCCAGTAGCGGTTGTGCTGGGGGCAGATTTCATGGTGGAGGTGGCAGAAATTTTTCTTTACATACCAGGTTTGCCCTCTTGATCACATGATGCAAACTGAGTGTCTGCCTTATTCCTCTTAGTGCCTACAGCTGCTTTTTAAATTTCTTTTTTGGGATGAGTTTCTGTCTCGCCTTGTTCCAGACATGCAGAAAAAAAATGTCTTTACTTCAAAAACAAGGGCAGTGGAACTAAGGAGCTCCTCTTCCTGTCTGTCAGTCTATCCAGAGTGAAACCTGCTGTAAGAGCTTGTCTGGAGAAACAGAAACTCAGCTAAAGGCTCCTGCTTTTGCTTATAGACTCTGTTTTACTACTTCTGTTGTGTGTTTTTAAAATGAAAGGATTCTCTGGGGAAAAAAAAGGGAAAAAAAAAAACACCAGAAAATTAAACTTAGACAAGCTACATTCTTATATAGTCAAAATGCAGTTATATGCCTAAATACCAAGCTTGTAAAGCTACAGGCAAAACGTTCCTTTCTCCCACATAGTTTCCCTTTTCCTGTTAGATGGAACAAACCCAGATAGTTCCAGTGACTTCATGTTGCACTGAGGGCAACCACTTTTCTGCATTTCTTGGATTACTGAGACATTTGTATCCTTTTTGCAATGTGAATGTTGCACATTCCTGCATTTAAACATGCAAAGTTTGGAGTGGAAGTTTTTACTAACCGTGGTAGGTTACCAGCAGGAGTTGCCACCTTGTATGCCCTCACATCTCTCCTGCTCATCGCTGCCTCCATTCTGAGTTTCAAATGTGGTTTAATGAGTGTAATTAATCTGACATAAATGAAGGATGTTGCTGATGGAATTATCCCCCTGCCTTGCTTGTGATGGCTTAGTTTTCTGCTGGGGCCAGCCTGCTGCCTTTGGTTCCAGTTTGGTTTTACACTGATGCTGTGTAACTGGGAGTGGATACAGAGAGGATGCACAGCTGAGGAGACAAAGCAGGTCATTGCCACCAAAAGGTGCAATCCTGCTCGTCTCTGGCCACGTGATCCTCCTCTCCTTTGCACTAGTTCTAACACGTGTCTGATCCTTGGATGATCTACTTCACCTTCCAGCTCAGCAGAAAGTCTCTTTTCCCCACTTTTTTTAGACCAATGCAGTGTATTGAACCAGACTATGGAGAGCCCTGCAAGAGGGAGGATGTGGGATTGGAAGGGGAGACATATCTCCTATACTTCTGTGGGGAAGGCATGAGATCTGTGCCAGTTTGTCATCTGGCTGCATCCTGAGGTTGTTCCAGGCTGGGGGAGAATTTCCACATTCAGGGAAATTCTCATAGACTTTCTTCCCACTTCCCGCTCATAGAATCATAGTGTGGTTTGGGTTGGAAGAGACCTGAAAGCTCATCTTGTTCCAAGCCCCTGTCATGGACATGGACATCTTCTGCTGGACCAGGTTGCTCAGAGCCCTATCCAGCCAGGCCTTGAATACTTCCAGGGAAGGGGCATCCACAGCTTCTCTGGGCAACCTGTGCCAGTGCCTCACCACTCTTACAGTAAAGAATTTCATCCTAATATCTGTTCTTACCTTCCCTCCAGCTTGTCCTATCACTACATGCCCCTCTCCAGCCTTCTTGCAGGCCCCCTTTATGTACTGGAGGGCTGCTCTAAGGTCTTCCCAGAGCCTTCTCTCCTCCAGG